ACAAAAAAAAAAAAAAAAAAAAAAAGAATATAGAGATCAAATCTGTATTGGTCAGAATATCTAAATTCATTATTTTCTAGTTTATTTTGTTTTTATAATAGCCATCCTACTGGGTTGTGTGTTAGTAAGCTTTGATCACTGTGAAAAATAAAAATCAGAAAAACAATTTAAAATACAAAATGTTTACTTTAGATCATTGCCTCAGAGGCTTTAGTCTATGTCCAGGTGGTTCCATTGCTTTTAGGCCTGTGGTATCATAGAACATGGAGGAGGAAAGGGCTCACTTCATGGCAACCAGGAAGCAGAGAGATAAGCAGGCAAAAAGGGGGGCTAGGGACAAGATAGCATTCCCTGGACACACCCTGGAGGACCCACTTCTTCCAAATGGGCTCCATCTCATGCAGTTTCCAACACCTTCCAATAATTAAATTATTGGTCCATCAATAGATTGATCTATTGATAAGTCAGATTCCTCATGTTCCAATCACTTCCCAAAAGCTCCACTTCTAAGAGTTGCTGCATTGAGGCCCAGACCTCCAGTGCATGACTCTTTGGGGGCCACTGCATATCCAAATGGTAACACAGTGACATGGCATCTCACTGTGGCTTTGATTTGCATTTCCCTTAATGATTAACAACGTTGAAATCTTTGCACATGCTTCTTTATATCACTTTAGAGAAATGTTCATTCAAGTATTTTTCCCATGTTTTAATTGGAGTGTTCATATTTCTGTTATTGAAATATAGGAGTTCTTTATATATTCTATATTTTGATGCCTATGAGATACATGATTTTCAAATATTTCTCCCATTTTATGGGTTAATTTTCACTCTGTTGGTAGTGTCCTTTGATAGACAAAAGGTTTTTATTTTGATGATGTCCAATTTATCCATTTATTTAATTGCCTATGCTTTTGATGTTATATCAAAGAAAATATTGCCAAATCTAATAACATGAAGCTTTTTCTGTGTTTTTTTTCTAAGAGTTTAACAGTTTTAGTTTTTATTTTTATGTCTTTGGTCTACTTTAAGTTTATTTTTTTACACAGAACAAGGTAAGAGTCCTTCATTCTTTTGCAAGTTTTTTATCATTTTCCAATATTATTTGTTGAAAAGACTGGCCTTCCACCTCTGAATGACTTGGCACCCTTGTTGGGAATAATTTGATATACAAGAGTTTATTTCTATTTTATTTCATAGATCTATATAATAGCCTTTATACTAGTACCACATATTTTTCATTAGTGTAGAATGTACTAAGTTGTGAAATCAAGAAATGTGAAGCTGGGTGTGGTGGCTCATGCCTATAATCCCAGCACTCG